TTTCACCTCGCCCTGTTTTCCAGAAAGTTTTGGGTGGCGAAGATGTTTTTTATTCTTTTGGAACTTCTTGGAACAGGGTGAGCATAATGATTCTTGAGACTGACTCGATATATGGAACCCGGTCTTCGATGAAATTGTTCCAATAGGACTCCAATGGTTAGAGGTTCGATCACCGTAGCTGATTCTACTAGGCCTTTCTTTCGCTTCCTTTCTTCCAATTTTTTTTCACTTTCTGCCTCCCTCGGGCCTCGAAAGATCATCACACACCATAAAAATGTTGCCGAACTAAAATATCAATCTGTTGATGGATTATAATATTTTGATTCGACTCATAAAATTTAATTGGATTTTTAGCATTCAATTATTTCATTCATTCTGCTAAAATTTTATTTAAAAATTTTAATCAACCAATTTTAATTGGACAATAATTAAACAAATTGTATGTACAATTTAGTGTTAATTTCTTCTATTACTCATTACTAATTATTAAATAATTTGTGTAAAAATCAAAAACAATGTTTTCGAGATACTCCACTGAAAAGCTTTTGTTTCAATCATCCAAAATATATTTTGCATTTCAAAAACACTTTTGCAAACATTGGTTCTGAATGATATTTTTGAAGCGTATCCGAAAAGTTTCAACGTCATTTTTGGGGGTCTATGCGCCTGAATTTTCTCCAAAACTTTAAAAGTTTTATCAAAATTTTAATTAAAATTTTTGTTTACAGTGTTGAAATTCTTAAAAAATTTTCTAAAAAAATCTTTTTTTATCTCTCTGCTAAATAAATAAAGACAATCTTTCATAATCATTAAATGTACTTTAAAATTAATTAAGGTTAGAGTAAATAACACGTGTTCGGTAATTTTGCCTGGCAAGGTACATATTTTGTCCTCTAATTTCGTACCTACCTGTTTTTCCAATTTTTGTATTTCGTACTCGGGTACGAATACAAGTACCAATTTAGTCAAGAGCTTCCAAACCAGAAGATCGGTCGTAATTCCGATTTTTAATTTTCGACATTTTCCCTTACCAATTTCCGAAATTTCTATAAAATCTTTTTCCTTTATTTTTGAAGCATTGTCTCAATTGAAAATTTTTGAATTTCTTTATTGTAAACAGAAAAAGAAAAATTGTTAAGAATTTCTTTATTGTAAACAAAAATCTTAATTAAACTTTTGATAAAACTTTTAGTTTTTTAATAATCTTTTTACTTTCTTTTTGAAAACAACAAAATATATAGAGAACGAACTTGTAGGAGAGAAAATAAGGTTTACAATTAAATAGGGATGAAAACAATTAATGGGATGAACAAATGAGCAGAGAAGTCAAATTGTATCACATCCTGCCGTTTCAGATGACGGCTTCCTCGACGTCAGAAAGTTCTTTCACCTCGCCCTGTTTTCCAGAAAGTTTTGGGTGGCGAAGATGTTTTTTATTCTTTTGGAACTTCTTGGAACAGGGTGAGCATAATGATTCTTGAGACTGACTCGATATATGGAACCCGGTCTTCGATGAAATTGTTCCAATAGGACTCCAATGGTTAGAGGTTCGATCACCGTAGCTGATTCTACTAGGCCTTTCTTTCGCTTCCTTTCTTCCAATTTTTTTTCACTTTCTGCCTCCCTCGGGCCTCGAAAGATCATCACACACCATAAAAATGTTGCCGAACTAAAATATCAATCTGTTGATGGATTATAATATTTTGATTCGACTCATAAAATTTAATTGGATTTTTAGCATTCAATTATTTCATTCATTCTGCTAAAATTTTATTTAAAAATTTTAATCAACCAATTTTAATTGGACAATAATTAAACAAATTGTATGTACAATTTAGTGTTAATTTCTTCTATTACTCATTACTAATTATTAAATAATTTGTGTAAAAATCAAAAACAATGTTTTCGAGATACTCCACTGAAAAGCTTTTGTTTCAATCATCCAAAATATATTTTGCATTTCAAAAACACTTTTGCAAACATTGGTTCTGAATGATATTTTTGAAGCGTATCCGAAAAGTTTCAACGTCATTTTTGGGGGTCTATGCGCCTGAATTTTCTCCAAAACTTTAAAAGTTTTATCAAAATTTTAATTAAAATTTTTGTTTACAGTGTTGAAATTCTTAAAAAATTTTCTAAAAAAATCTTTTTTTATCTCTCTGCTAAATAAATAAAGACAATCTTTCATAATCATTAAATGTACTTTAAAATTAATTAAGGTTAGAGTAAATAACACGTGTTCGGTAATTTTGCCTGGCAAGGTACATATTTTGTCCTCTAATTTCGTACCTACCTGTTTTTCCAATTTTGTATTTCGTACTCGGGTAAGAATACAAGTACTAATTTAGTCAAGAGCTTCCAAACCAGAAGATCGGTTGTAATTCCGATTTCCGTTTTCCGAAAGTTAGATAAAATCTGTTTCCGTTATTTTTGAAGCATTGTCTCAATTGAAAATTTTTGCCGGAGAAGATATCGGAGGACAATATAGGAGTTTAGCAGAAAATCGAAATTTCGAAACATCTCTGTGTACTCTTGTTTAATATTTAGTAGGCGGGTTTTTTTTATTGCGAGATTCGTTTAGCGAGCAACGCCTCTAAATGCTGTTAATATTTAAGACACTTAGCTTATTGTATTACCCATTTATTATTATTTTTCTCGCAAAAAATTAAAAAAAACATTAGTTTTGTATAGCTTTCTAATTTCAAACATACGTTAATAAGTCAGACCTCTAATTTATATATCTCCTTTTATGAAGATATACGGATTCTATATACTCTTCAATTAGGAAAGAGACAGTCGTGTTGTAAAAATTTTCTTTTGGTCGGGTTTAAGGCCTATATGTTCCAGTTTTTGTCTTGGGTCTTGTCTTGAAGAATAAAGGGTGGCGTGAGAACGATAGAATATTAATTCTACTTCAACACAACACCAAATCTTACCCGAAGCTCAAGACAAAAAATTAACAAGACTATCTCAATTGTTTGGACCTTTAAAACAAATTACATTAATTTAATTTGCCCCTTCGACACGAACACCTGCATATAATTTCGGAGAATACATAATAATATAATCAAAACTAGAATTTTGAGAAATTTTTTATTCATAGAAAATATTTGCATGGACTCGGGCTATGTAGGCCCGACGTACATAGCCCGAGTCCAGGCCTTCCAAATTCTCAAATTTGAAAGGCCTGGACTCTGCCTTCCAAATTCTCAAAAATTCGCTTATGGCGTTGAAAATGGAAGAAATTTAATTGTCTCCATAAATCTCAAAATTTTCTCCCGCGGCGTAAAAAATCACACTTTCTGGACTTTATAAGAAAATACCAAACAGAACCACCTTAATTTTCGACAGCTTTAATATCTGGTTGGCCATTGATGTGTTTGGATAAACGATATGTTCCATTTGGGTATACCAAAATGGGGTCTTAGTTCAGGGTTACGATCGACAAAATGCCACTCAAAAGTATCAAAATCTTGATTAAAAAGTATATAGGGAGAAAATTTGCAAATAAAAAGTATACTTAAAATTAAATTAGAAAATATTTATTCGTGCTCAAATCTTTTATATTCCTCTCCTAAATGAATCTTTTCTAATAATTTCTTGCTTCCACTGAGCATTTTGTGCATTTCAATGCACTTTTTTGTTGCGCCAAAGGCCAAAAATCTTCTATTTTTTGCGCCGCAGGCGAAAATTTTGAGAATTTTAAAAGGCCGTAGGCAAAAAAAAATTCTCTTTTTTGCCCAATCCCTTCCCCAATCTCATTTTCAATCCAAAATGTTGATTTAAAAGTAGATATTTTCAAAAAAGTACAAATTCAATTTCGTAAGTATGGAGGTCGCTTTAAAAGTAGAATACTTTTAAAAAAGTATGAATCGTAACCCTGTCTTAGTTTAATTAAAAACAAAAAAACTAAGCCATAATAGACATTAATTAAGAGATATCGTTTTCAGAAAATTTAAAAATTTAAAATTCATAGAGTAAAATGAACTTTTTCATTCTTTTTATGATAATATTCCTTCTTTTGATAACCCATCTTCAATTAACCAATGGAATGTTTCAAGGAGGTTTTTATTTTAAATTATGTTTGTATTAAATTAAAATTTTATTGGAGAAAGTTCAAGCTCTAGAGGAAAGCAAGTTCAGATGCATCCAAGTCCCCAACCTTCTACAGAGTCTGGAATGAATTTTTCGCTCGTTGAATTGTCAATTTCAATTCGCGTATTGCGCTTTATTGACATTGACGCGATTAAAGACATCACAGACCCAAATTATGATTTGGAAAAAATTATTGATTTGTATTGCGACAATGACTTTAATACTTTACAAATGGAAAATAAAGATTCAATCGGACATGTTTATGTTCAATTGAAAACTAAGCTGACACAGGTGGATTCTTTTTGTATCCTTAGTAAATTTTAAGCTTGAACGCATCTCTACCGTAAAATAATCATTTTCAAAAGCATTTCGTAAAACTATCAAAATTCAAAAAAGACAAAAACGGCTCCCTTTATTATTCGCGCCAAATTTTCGATCTGTCAGAATCTTTATTGTATAAGATTTAATAATATTTTTAAGATTGTCGAGCAATATAATCAGTATTTTCCATATCATGTAATATGGGATGCAAACAATTCATTACGATTTAGAAATTCAATTATTGCCGAGGGATTGAAAGAATATAGTTCAAAAATGGAAATAAATAAATTTAATGATTTTTTGTGGTCAAGGGAAATTTTGCCCGCAAATTGGGAAAATATGGATCTTCAAACTTTGTTAAATGAGTCTTTTAAAATAACGACATATTTAAGGTTAATAATACTAGAGATTACACAAAATCTTCTTTAATCGATCATAATCCACTTATGTACCCTCTTAGATTTTTCAACCTTAATAAAATATGGGGATCCTTTGGTATTGTGCTTTGAAAGACAGTGCCAAAAACAATTACTTATTTTAGGGAGGAGAAGGAAGGGGGGGGGTTATTTTGGCGGGGTGTTATTATGAGCAAGGGGTGTTCCTTCGATGAACTCTACAGGGGTGTTAGTTTAGATGGTGGGGTTATTTTGAAGTGTGGGGTCTATTTTAGAGTAAATACGGTATTTATTTATTACAGGGGAATACACAAAATAAATTTGTACAACGAGTGTAAGAAATTATTGCAAAATACATACAACGCCAAAAGAAATATTTACCTTTTTTGGAATTTTTTTTCCCTTGCTCGTATGCTCATTCGACAATTTATACAAAACAGTAATCCTGACTACGTCAATTTATTGAAGGAGTTTAAAAATAAGAATCTGTATGTTTTTGTGTTTAATTAAAGTCTGGTTTTATTTAATAATTTAAAGATTTATTTCGAAAGTAAAGTTTCTTGACGATTATGATTCTCTTGAAGTTAAAGCTAACTTTTGGATGAATGAATTTTCACAAATGTTGAATGTTGAACAGATAGTGAATGAACATGGACTTGGGTTTACTGGTAAATTCTTTTATATACTGGGGCAGGGATTTACTAGTAAAATCTTTTATCTAATGTTAGGTGGTAATTGTCCGACCAATATTCTAACTATCTTTAAAGCGACTAGGACGTTTTTTTCTTCCCCCGATATCTATCCCCGTTATCAGATCAACATACCTCGTTAACGGAACTAGTTCCCCTGTGTTCGGGTCAATGTTCTATGGATTGTGTAATCCTAGGTCAATGCTCTAGGATTTGTACCATTCAACAAATCCTCTATATTTGAACATATATGTACATGGAGAATTCTCATAATGGCAGATTATCAAATGATTACTTGACAACTTGGTGTCGAATATTTTTGAAAATATTTTTTAGTTGGAAATTTTTGCATAATTTAGAGAATCGTCAAACAGATAGGTCAAAAGGAGCTTATTTAACTTTATTTATAAATATTGTCCGCAAATATTGTCCGTAAAAGTTTTAGTATAGACATTGTTTCAGTACACAAATTTAATAACAATATTTAGATTTACCAGTAGCCTCGTTATATATCGTGGAAAATCATGGTACTTTGGCCGTTTTAACGATTGATCAATCTATTGAAAATATTGCTAATCTTGAAATTTTGTTGAATTTGATTAAAATAAATTTTGGTTTTTATTTTAATTAATTTTCTAAATTATTTTTAGTAAAAATAACCTAAATATATTCAATATATTTTGTATAATTCATCAAAATTCCAAAATATTCATCTGAAATTTTCTCTAATAAAATTTATTAAATTTAGTAGTTGACACTGCTTTACTTGAAAATGCATGTAAAAGATTTATTTCGAAATACAATCAACCGGATTATGGCCAAAACTTTCATGTTTTGCATGCTAGTTTGGATGATATGCAAAAATTAACACTTGACCAATTCGTGATCGACTCGTTATTAACTGAAGAATTTTCTAAGACACAAATCGAATACATTGAAGAAATTATAGATATTAACAAACACTTCATTTTGCCACAGAAGCACACTAATCTTGTTGAGAAGGTAGGAACTTTATGGAGTTCCATTGCAAACCTCCATTATAATCCAAAAGAATTATCGAGAAAAATACATTTACATTTGAAAATTTGAATTAAAAAATAAATCAGAAATTTTATTAAGATACTTCATAAATGCACTGAACTAGTAAATTCATTTGGTGGACAGAGCAGTGGTGGAGGACATTAAAGAAAAATTAAAGAGAAAAACAAAAATTTGTGGATGGAAATTGTAAAAGAAATTTTTTAAATTGGGGTTTTAGTTTCAGATTTAAATTATCTAGCAACAATAGCTAGCCCAAGAATATTGCATAGAGGTCATTTTTTCTTTCAAAAAACTTAAATTCAGGATTAAAAATTGTTTAATTAATTATTTGGATAATTGTACTTTTTTTTGGAAAATAAGAGAAAAATGTTCCATGCATTATTTTTAAATTTGTGAACGAGGTAAAAATTGGGATTTTTCAAGTAAAACATTTTTGGGAAATTTAAAACATTTGGGAATTTATTATATACTAGAATTTGAAATTTGTAAAATACCGGATCCAGTTTCGGGATTTTAAATTTTTTTTTGATCACATTGTGTATTTTCTTACATTTAAGTTTAGCGAATTAAAAGCCGGGGAAGCCTGTAAAAAACACTCCAATCTTCCAGTATATTACTGGCAACTTTTAAAGTGTTCAATGAGGCCGATTTAGCGGTCTTGGTAGGAAACACTAAATGTAGTTTTTAGCTTTATTTTCTGATATTTATCATTAAATTGTTTTTATTTTAAACAAATGTCGATAAATTGAAGAAAATTTGTTTTTTAATTTTATTAAAACTAGAAAAATAAGAAATATAAAAACATGTTATGTGTAAATTAAAAGTAATTTTTTGTTGATTTAATTATTCATGAGAGGGTGTTTCAAAATATGCACGAAAAATCCAAAAATATGCGCATATATATGCACCGAAAAAGCCCAAAATATGCATCAAAATATGCCAAATTTGCCGAAATATGCACTAAGTATGCAGCATAAATAATGAAAATGTGCTTTAAATATCAATATTTCAAGTAAAAAAATATAAATTTAGCATTTATATTGCAGTTTAGAGCACTTCTAGAAGATTTTATTAACTTTAAATTCAACCAAGAGAAATTTTCTCGAAAAAAATTTTTCCCAAAAAATTTTTCTAAAAAATTTTTTCAACAAATTTTTATTAAAAATTTTTTGCTCAAAAAATTACAAAATTTTGAAAATTGTAAAGTTCATAATAATAGTAATTTATTAAAATAGCCTTTTTCCAAGAATTTTATGTGTGCCAAAAGCCTTTTGTAAATAAAATTATGATTAAATTGAAAAAAACGATGTCAAAGAAAGAATTAGCACCTTTCTGTTTTTATTGTTGACATTTCAAATGTCTGTTATTGACTCTCAAACTCAATAAAATCAGTAAAAATATAAAGAACTAAAAATAAAAAAGCAGATTATTTACTTGATAAATTCCTCCAGATTAATCCAAATTATTTAAATCATCGGACGTCTTAATCATATTCAATGCCGAAAAGGCATTCCGAAAGGCATTCCTCTTCCTACAATTTCTTCAAAATTCCAAAATATTCATCTGAAATTTTCTCTAATAAAATTTATTAAATTTAGTAGTTGACACTGCTTTACTTGAAAATGCATGTAAAAGATTTATTTCGAAATACAATCAACCGGATTATGGCCAAAACTTTCATGTTTTGCATGCTAGTTTGGATGATATGCAAAAATTAACACTTGACCAATTCGTGATCGACTCGTTATTAACTGAAGAATTTTCTAAGACACAAATCGAATACATTGAAGAAATTATAGATATTAACAAACACTTCATTTTGCCACAGAAGCACACTAATCTTGTTGAGAAGGTAGGAACTTTATGGAGTTCCGTTGCAAACCTCTATTATAATCCAGAAAAATTTTCGGGAAAAATAAATTTAACAATGAAAAGTATCATTAAATTGTTTATTAAAAGTATCATTAAATTGTTTTTATTTTAAACAAATGTCGATAAATTGAAGAAAATTGTTTTATGTTTTATAATGTATTTAAATATATTTAACGTATTTAAGTAAAGTAAAGCAGCTGGGCTATAGCTATTTCTCTCCTTCGGCTAGTGCAAAAGGCGGCTGGAAGCGAACCAGCATCTTGTGTGTTAGCCATTGTGTTAGCCATTACACCTGATGTGTTATCCATTACACCACGCCGCCTACTGCACAGCCTTAGGAATTAAATAGCTATATGCTTTACAGTATCAATTAACTAAAAGTTAGCAAAGAATAAATAGTTGGCAGCCGCAAAAATAAACATTGTTAAAAAACGCCTTGATGGCAGATCTATTTTCGGACTGGTCATACAAATAACAAAAAATAAACTCTTAGAAAAACATTTTGATGAATTGTCATTCTAAAGAGATAGGAAAACTGAGTCGAACTAGTTGTGGAAGAAGTTGAACATTCCGGGACCGAGTACAAATTTCTGAAAATCGAAAAATAATAGGGAGGTTAAGATCGTCGGGCCGAGTCAAAGGAACTATCATTCGTATAATCGAATTTTTCACCCAAAATTGACTTTTCAGAGACTTATTTAATCATCTCGTTTGTCCAAATTGATCCGGAAACAAATAACCTACATAGTATAGATTAGAGATCCATCTGGATCCAATCTAGATTTTTCTGGATCCAGATTATGAATCCTGTCTAGGTTACTAAACTAAATCTAGATCCAGGATTTTTGAAAATATCGATCTTTAGTATAGAGACCAGTGCCACCGTTTACTCAGATTTTTAAAAATGGAGCCTTACTAATGAATGGACCTATAAAGAAACAAATTTCTGACTAAAATCCCTCTGAAGAAACTAACTTATGACGAGATTACCGGACATTATTGACTTTATTTAATTCAAATTTACACATATTTAAAGATATGGACGAAACATTTTTCTTTGTTTTTTAATTAACGAACTTAATTCATTATTATCCTCATCATTATTTGTTATTTGTTCATTTTCTCTTTTACTGTAATTTTCTTCTAATTGTTTTTTATTTTCATTTAATTGTTGTTGTCTTTTTAAAAATATTTGTTGTTGTTGTTGTATTATTGTAGCGGCCATTATTCCACTTAATAAAAATGTTGATGGATGTAGTAATGGGGGAATTAATTGGGGCTGTAAAAATGGTGGGGGAATGAATGGAGGGATTGAAATTGTGTTGGTTGGGTGTTGTGGTATTTGGTTACTTTAAATATTAAATTTTATTCTTTAAAATTTTTATCATATCGGACTTCACTTTTAATATGTAAGCCCCTTGAAGCCTGAATAATGGGAAGTATCTTATAATAAGGGGTATGTTAATTTGACGGTGTTGTGTCCGCACTTGCAGAAAGAACATAATAGAAATAAATAACCCATCGTGTTGGATGGTGGCACAGTCGATTGTGCTTCGGTTTGGACCCTTTCCATAATAGTTCAATTCCACCTCCCATCCAATGAATTTTTCCACAGTATGAACGCGAATATAATAGACGTTATCTTGAAAGCGAGTACCTTATGTAGTTTGGTCTTTAGTTTAATAATGAGGTAAAACTAAACTAGAGACGGGACTGGATCTCTAGCTATCTCCAATCGTTCTCGATAACTTAAGATTTTTGTCATATGTTTCGGCTTTAGAAGAAACTTAATGCATTTGAATGTGTAAATTTAATATTATTTTTAAGTAAATTTTAAAATTTCTGATTTTTTGACAATCTTCTTTTAAAAAATATTTTGAATCTGTAAATTTCTAATTTTGAAAAACATTTGAAAAATTTACCGATTTGCGTTGTGAACAAAATTGTTTTGTTGAATACCATTTGTATTAATATTATTTATTTTGACATTTTTATTGTTCTCCTCGTTCATTACTGTCTAAAAATTTTTAAAATTAATTTATCATTTAATTTATTTAAATAAATTTAGATTCGTTATACATAATGATACATAATGTCTACTATGTAGGGTTATAAAAGTCGACTCTAATGAGGAATATCTTAAATAAAAATAGGAGTTTCCTATTCATCTATAGTTTCGGCATCCACTCCAGCACTCGAGAGCAAATTTTAAAACCCGATGCCCAAACTGAGAAGTGTCTAATTCTGTTTTAGCTTAAGTGAGGTGTTAAACGAATTTTAAAAAATGGCAGGAGCGATATCGAAACCGAAGCAAATAACTAAACAAAAAAAGCGATCCTTTAGGAGAGCGGGATATCTCTTATAATTAGCTCTGTCTTTATTATGGTTGTACCCAGAACGCTCGGGGGCGGGCATGACGGGGTACGGTATTTGGTTGTCGGGGTACAACTCTAGTCTATTATAAATTTACAATGTGCTTGTTTTTTCCTGGTTGTCGTCCTCGATGTTTTCTGACAGTTGTAAAATCCACATTCTTACTAAAATTAATACCAGAATTATTTAAAGACAATAAAGAAGAATATTTTGAAGAGGAAGAAGGTGTATTTGAAGATATTCCATTATTTAAATTTGTTTTTGTTTGTGCCATAATAATAGCACTTAATTCTTCTGCTGCTCTTTCAGCTACTCGAGTTCGTAAACTTTGGAATACAAAATATTTAAAAATTAATTTAATTAATAATTACATTCTGTTAATTGAACTAATGCTTGGAGGTTGTTGGCAAACTGCTAAAATTGTAAATAAATTTTATGAAAAATATTTTTTGAGAAACATGGTTAAAATAAATAAACAATAAACAATTGTTTAATAATTCTGATTTTAAAAATTTTATTTTTTTTTCTGATTTTTATGAAAAAGACTATGGGTATATAAATGTTCCAATTAGGTATACAGGAATCGGGGCTAGGAATGGTCACAAACTTTATGCCAGCATATTTAAGGAAAGCATGGGTACACAAATGATAGCCGATCACCACACTAATCAGAATCTGATCGGTGTGGTTTAAGCAGGCTTATCAAAGGGTCTCTATTAAATTTGAACCAGATTTTTTAATTTGTCTTAAGTTTCAAGCCATCATCCAATCCAAAGATGTACTTATAAAATTTTTGACTCCATTATAATAATTTAAAATATCCCTCACTTTACCTTCCTCAATCAGCCTTTCTCGTATTTCCCAAGCAAAAATTGTCGGATTCTCCCTCTTATAGGCCTCAATTTTAGCAACAACTGCAGGTGTAGCAACCTTTGGTTTTGTCCCATATTTTCCTTTTGTTTTTAATTTTTGTTGCCAATTATTGTTTGAATTGTTTGTTGTTGGTTTTTGTATAGTAGAAGTTATTTGAAAATATTTTTGTTGATTATTTGGATTCATTCTTCCAATTTAAAGTTTTATCGCTTTTTTGGAATACTAATTTTTAACTTTAAAGAAAGATATAGATTAATTCCCAATTTCAGATTCAAAAATTTTTTATTTAAATTAAGGACCATCCCCAATTTTCGGTATCCAACTTTCGTCAAAATTGTCTGGTTCTTATTACTTTTTCATTATAAAGTTACATTCTGGATTTCCTATCGAGATTCAGGCTTATTCATTTCGCGAATATTAATCCATGAAGTTGGGTTTTCTAGATAATGAACTTTAGTTTCACAAAAATGGGAGAGAGCCTCAGGGGATGTTCTTCTATTAAAAAACATTTCTCCACATAACTGGTAGGGGGCGTTATTATATAGAAATTTTATATTAATTTAAAATATTCTCGTGACTTTAAAACAAATTTTCTAAAATAAATATTGTAATTTGATTTTTGTAAAATAACCATTTAAAAAAAGAATATACGCCCATCGGCACGACGAATAAAAATAGGCACTTGAGTTGCGCGCAATGCTTGGAGATTAGAAAAGCAAAGGATTGACCTTTCTTTGTGGGTTTGAATTTTTTCGGCTTTTTTATTTAAAAAAATATTCATGCAAATTTATTTTTTATTCCCATTCCGTTGCATACAAAGTAAAAAAATTTCGAGTATTCAAGATATTCTTTAAGGCTTTTATGGTAAAATATTGGAGACATTCCTTGAAAATTAGTATAATTTCTTTTTAGTAAATGATCCCAAATTTATCATTTTTTACAGTGTAAATTTATTTAAATTATTCAGGGTGGGTGTTTCTAATGCTTAAATTTCTCCGAATCTTATTTGACAAAATTATTGTTGGAGAGCGCCTAGGATATGAAAAATTTTCATACAAATTTATTTTTAAGCTCCCCTCTCTCTATTAATTACCCGGACGTAATTATTACAGAAAATACGGTAGATCTATTAGAGGGCGTATGATAAAGAAACTAGCTAATTAAATAGGCTTTGATTAGATAAAAAATTTTACATATTAAAATTAACGACTTTTGAAATTATATTTACATTATTAGATTATAATTTTGGTAATTAGGGTAAATGAGCATAATGCGAAAAACTTTTCTGTTTCAATACTTCCATTGAAAATATAATTATCCTAAACGTTTATTAGGATAATTACGGTAAATTATATGGTTTAACTACTTATCAAAACTTAAAAGATTATTTAAATGTCATATTTTACGAAATAAAATTGAAATTAATTAAATAAAGGATATTCAATTTTGATGAATTACTTAAAAAATCAAATAATTCCTATAAAATTATAAAGAAAAATAAAAATTTATTTTTTACCTGTTCCCGACTTGTTAATAACCTCTCTAATATTGAATAATATCCAATAATATCCCAATTACAAGAGCAAAAAACATCAAAAAAAAATCTTAAGCCAACACATCACCTTTTTCTCAAAATTCCCTTCAGTTTTTTCTATTTGCCCGCCCCTCTTTAACACATTTTCTTTTTGTAATTTTAGTTTAGCCATCTTTTAAGCCTTTTTCCATCTTATCTCGAATATATTAACGCTTTTGTATTCTTTTTTCTCTTTTGACTTTCCTCTATTTGTCACAAAAATTGTCAAGTGGAGCATTATTTGAGTAGCGGGGTGGGTGTATTCTAGTCCAAATATTTCGGTAGAAAATCAACTTTTTAAACAAGTTTTTGGTATCATTTGATAGAGAATTAAATTTTCTACAATAATAACTTGAAATTAAAAATTTTAAAAAAATAAGAAAAAAGTTAAAATCAAAAAACTTTGAAAAATCCTTCATTTTAAAGAAAATTGTTAGTTTTTTGACCAGAACTTTTTTTTCCTAGAATCAAAAATTCTGATTTTCTGTCATTTTATAGAGAATTTAATTCTCTATCGAATGATATCAAAACCATCCGAAACGGACCATTTATTAAAGAGTTACAAGGCGAGACTCAACTGCTGCCCTTCTCCTGTCAAGTGGTCATAGGCGCCATTTTGACAGAATAAATCCCCCAAAAACCAAAAAGATGTTATTTTACAATACTGGTAATATGTTATAATAAAAGATGAAATGTAAAGAATATAGTAATTTTGGTAGGATTCAAGTGGAATTTATAAACATCAAAAGTAATTTGAGAACAATGGAAGGTTATTTTCTCTTTGTTTGTAGAGCAAAATGAGTGGAAATTAAATAAAATATAAATATTTTTTTGAAAAATTTTGTATACTGTAGATAATTTTCTCAAAATTATTGGTCGAAATTACGACGAAATTAAGGTACTCTTGTGTTATCTCCCCAAATGTTTGTCCGCAACATCTTGCCTTTAGCTTCTCTATCCTTCTTTCTCCTCTGATAAAAATTAAAAATTGGTAAAAGGGTTAAAAAAATGTAAGATTGAAAAAGGACTTTCTAACTGCCGTATTTTAAAGAATGTAAGTAGAGATCCCATACCTTATAAGCACCCGGCTCTGTGCTTTAGAATTAATGTTCTTGTGTTGAGAGTGTTATCTAGACCTCCGGGTGAATAAGTGCTGGATAATTTTGAATTTAAAGAGCAGAAGGCTGAGCGGGATAAGGCGGAGTGAAATAAAAATCAGTGACCATAAGCCCTACACTCTATTATCAACCTAATTTTAAGGAAACAAAAATGGCTTTAATTAAATAAATTTATTTATTTTATTTTTTTAAATTTTCTCCTTATTTTTTACTCTCAAATATTTTGCTCTAAAATGCATTTCATTGTCTGATAAAATTGAAACACTTGTATGTCCCATATTTAATAGTACAAAACCTGATTTTTCTGAACACATTTTTAATTAATAAATTTATTAATTAAAAATGTGTTTTTTATTTGTTTTATAGTTAAAGTTGTATTTTATTAATTCTGATTTTAATAAATTCCGTTTTTAGTTTTTAGAATTGTGTTTTATAGTATTCTGATTTTTAAATTTATTCTGGTTTTAAAATACACTGAATGTATTTCTTTTAATAATTCTGATTATCTTCTGATTTCAGAATTTGTGTTTTTATTTATTTTATTTCTGATTTTTGTGTTTTAATAAATTAAATTCTGATTTTTAATTAATTCTGATTATCTTCTGATTTTAAAAATGTGTTTTTAATTTTAATTGTTTTGTGTATTTCTTTTCTGATTTTTGTGTTTTTTTTATGTTAATTCTGATTTTTTATTGTGTTTTAAATTAATTTTTTTCAAAAACATTTTTGACTGTTTCAATCATAATTTTATCATTTATTATAAAACATTTTTTAATTTTATCTTCTTAAAAAATTTCTTTTTCAATAAAAAATAATTTTCTTTTCTTATATTTAAAAAAATATTATTTTCTAATCATTTCACAATTTCTTAAACAAATACAAAAAATTCCTTTCTAAGCTAAAACCAAAACTGTCATGCTTTAATCAATAAATGACGGCCAAATAAAACAAAAGCAAAAGTTTTTTAAAATTATTTTTAAAATTATTTAAATAAATACAAAATTAAAAAATGTTTTTAAGCTTAACAATTATTTGTTTTTTTAATATTCTGATTTTATCTGTTTCTGATTTTTGTATTTTCGTTTTTAATTAATTCTGATTTTTGTGTTTTTGTTTTTATTAAATTCTGATTTTTGTGTTTTTGTTTTTTCATTGTTCTGATTTTTGTGTTTTTGTTTTTTATATAATTCTGATTTTTGTGTTTTTGTTTTTATTTGTTTCTGATTTTTGTGTTTTTGCTTTTTTATTGTTCTGATATTTGTATTTTCGTTTTTATTTAGTTCTAATATTTTTTATTTGTTTTTTCATTGTTCTGATTTTTGTGTTTTCGTTTTTATTCAGTTTTGATTTTTGTATTTTGCATTTTCATTGTTCTGATATTTTTTTATTTGTTTTTGTTTTGTATTTTTACTCTTTCTTGTTCTGTTTTCACTGTTTCTATTCCCTTTACTTTCCATGTTTTTATTATTTGTTTTTGTGTTTTTACGTTTCTGTTCTATTTTCCCCTTTTAACATGTTTTAACCTTTATGTTTTTGCTTGTTTCAATTTGTGTTTTTCCTGTGTTTAATTTAAACAGAACAAACACATTGTTGTATTTTATTTTTATAATTTTTTCTTTAATATTTCCCACCATTTTTCTTTCATTTTCTTTGCTATCAATGCTTACTAGTTGAAATTTTTTTCTTTTTTTTATTTATTTTCTCTTTTAGCTAAAAAATTATTCTTTTCGTTTCTTGATTTTTGTTATTGTGATTTTTCTCAAAAAAATATTTTTTAAAAATAAATTTTTGTTTCTTCTTCATTTTATTCATACTTTAACTGAAACATTTTTAGGTTTAAATAAATTTTTAAAAATATTTTTCTCATTAAAACAACAGTTCCCTTTACCCATTATTACCTTTTTATGTTTTCCCTTTGTTTTCCAAAAATAATTTTTTTAAATATTTTCGCGCATTGCCAAGGAAACCTTTTCTTTTCTCTTTTTTTGTTAAAAAAATGCCACGAGACGTAAACTAAAAATTATTATTTTTTTATTAAAATTTTATAAACCTTTAAATATTTTTAAAGAAATACCAAAGAAATTTCATTCTATTTGGATGGCAAAATTTTATTTGTTTGTTTTTTGTGTTTTTCATTTTTTTGTATTTTTTATGTGTTTTATTTTTAATTTTATTTTGAATGTTTTTATAATATTCTGGTTTTGTATTTGTTCTGTTTTCGTGTGTTTTAATGTTATTCTGGTTTTTTGAATGTTTTTATTTTATTCTGATTTTTGTATTTTATTTGTGTTTTAGCGTGTTTGTTATGTTATTCTGGTTTTTCTGTGTAAATGTTTTTATTCTATTGTGATTCTGTATTTATTCTGGTTTCTATTTATTGTGTTTTAGTGTGTTTTTATGTTATTCTGGTTTTTCTGAATGTTTTTATTTTATTCTGATTTTCTATTTATTCTGATTTTGTATTTTGTTTGTGTTTTTGTTCTTCTAAATTTTATATTCTTTGTTTTTGTTTCTTTGTATTTTCTGATTATTTGTTCATTTTCAACCCCAACGATTTTATCTATTTATTTTTTATCTATAATATTCCATGTTCGTTTTCCTCTCCTATCATTATTTTTTTAATTTATTTATTTATTTAATATTTTTATTCTCCTAATTTTTAAAATAAATTTTAGCAACAATTAATTAAATTTATTTTTTTTATTTTTTTAAATTAATTATGCCAATGAATCTGCAGAGATTTGTTTCTTTACCCAATGCATTTAAACCACTCATTTTGGTAAATTAATTAAAAATTGAAAAATTTTTTAGTTTGCCAAAAAAATTATTTTTAAAATTTTTTTTGTTCAAAAAATGTTTTTTAAGTTACTCACACTCCTTGCCATTTTACTTGTAGCATCGGCGCCAATGAAGGACACCCCTGGCGGAATGTGGTTCTTTTGGCTTACTTCTATTTTACAATTGGTATTAGGAAGATTAAAATAAAATATTTTAGACCCTCCTTCTAATAATAAAATCTTTTCTTCGATGCCTGTAAGGTTTACCAAAAAATTCGTTTTTTGGTTAAAAAATAAAAAAAATTTTTTAAAGACATTAGAAAACTTTCTATACTTGGTGACTTTTGATTAAGTTCTAGATTAATTCCCCTGGGGGATTAATATTTCAACCCATCCGTGGGAGGGGAATTATTCGAGTTTTGGCATTTGAATGTGCAGTAGGGTAATTGGGAGTGGGGAATTATTATTTCAACACATCCCTAGCAGGGGGAATTAATCGAAAGGGGGAATTATTTGAGGGAAGGGAATTAATCGAGAAAATACGGTATCTGTTTCTTTCCTTCCAAAAATTTCTTTTTGGGTGTAAAATTTATTTAAAAAAATTTTTTTTCCTCTAAAAATTTTATCAATCCAATCTTCAGATATTTATGACAAGTGTTTGTGTTCTTTTTCTTTACGAAGCCGAATCCATTCTTAGTTGCGGCCGTGAAAGTGGATGGCCTGTTGTGGTTAGATTAATTTAATTTTCCTTCAAAAAAATTTTTAAAAATTAAAAGGAAATGTCTTATTCTGGAGTTTGTACATTTTCAAATTTTATTAACACATTTATTTTGGCTGGAGCTCATAAACATGAAAAAAATGCAGCAAATAGTTGTATGGTTGCCGCGGTAATTTTTGACATTCTTGTTAAATAATTCTACATCGAACCTAACCATTACTATTTAATAGCGATGTTCGAGAGTTAAAAAAAGTCGAGACCGAGAGATTAAGAGGGAGAGAGACCAAGACCTCAAAAAACCCGAGAAATTTCCCGACTTGAGAGTCGAGACCGAGAGTCTAGAACATGACTACCATTTAAGTAAATCTTAGGAGATTATATCGCTTTGTCAGCCCCCACCCAGCGACCAACCAAAATTTTAGAAAATTAAATTAAGCCGAGGTTTATCTGATATTGGTTGTATCTACAAATGAGATCCGCCTATAAAATAATTTTAAAAATATCGTGTAGTTAAGTGGTATTTTTGAAAAGCTCAAGAGACCAAGGTTCGAACCCTCTCCGTGCTAAACATTTTTTACTTTCTCAAAATTATCTAAAATCAACATATTTTAAGTTCACAACACTTTTTATGTGTATATTATTTGCTATTGGAGGTTTAATGATGTTTCGTATATGGCGAGGTTTTGTAAAATCTGGAGGAAATCAAAATCCAACCCCGAATGTGCAAACTGGAAATATTGGAAGTATGCACCCTGGAATTTAATTTAAAAGATTTTTTGAGGAAAATATTGACAAAAAATTGTTTTTTTTTCATTTTGAAATTTTTTAAACCAAAAAATATTTTATAATTAGTGTATTTTAAATATGCTCCGGGAAAATCCGCCAACAGCTTAGTAAAATTTTTTCCTTCGAAAAGATTAAAAATTTTTGCTTGCAGCCTGAAAGGAACAAGTGCTGATCTAAATCATTCGATTCGTTTTGTCGAATGATTTAGAATAACGGTTTTCTAGTAACATAAGGTGTAAATTTGAGTTTGTTTTTTAAACCTCTCGAATTAAAATATAAAAAATCTATAGTCAGAAATTTCTCATTTAAATTGTTTTTAAAAGTCAATTTTTTTTATTTTTTCTAAAAATGTGTACCTCCGATCTGAGAATTATTGTTTATCCATAAATTATCAAGTCCAATTGCCGATTTTCCCTTCTTTCTTGTGCACTCTTCAATTAGTTCTCTTCGTCGTTGTAATTGTTCTGGTGTCATTGATTCCCACATATTGATTTGAGATAGAAATTTTTTGCCACTTGTTTTCCATTTTTTGAGAAGTTCATGCTGAAATTTTTTAGATGTTAAAACAATTTTTAAAAAGCGAGCATGACCATTTTGGGTGGGTTAGACACGACCCATACGGTAAAAAACCTAGGTGCCCCCACCGAGTCGAGTAGTTTTGTTATTGCAATAGCATCGTCCGCCATGTTTTCAGATGGAAGATTTTTGGTTGATTCTGTCAAACCACTTACAACAATACTTCTTTCACGCTCTAACTCTTCTGCTGAAGTAGTGTTTAAATTTGTTGCCCCTAAAAAATATCCATAAGGTTGTTTTTCTTGTTGTTTTTCTTTAAGTGAATCTATTGATTTACTAAGTAGGTCAAATTGTTCTGTTAGAGTTTTAATAAAGTTTAATAAAATTGGAGATAGTTCCCGATCCTGGCTTCATAGCCGGAATCTTCAAAAAACCAGGAAAAGGACCGGGAAACGGGATCGGGTCCCGTTCCGGTCTCTAGTTGTGATATTCAATATTCTTGTTAAATTTTTAAAGTTTTGGAGAAAATTCCGGTATATTAGACACCAAAATAAGATAACGTTGAATTTCTCCAATTCAATCATGCGCCATGAATAATTACCGTGTAATCTTTAAAACTTGCGAGAAATATGGGGAGAAAAAATCTTATAACAATTGCTAATTAAATTTATTGGAACTCTAATGTTCTTTGATGGATATAAGCTTACGTGTATATACTTACAAGTACATGTATGTGTTTACAAGCTATCCCAATGCTCTCCCCTTAATAAATTTTAAAAATTAAATAAAGATGTAGGTTGGCAATTAATGATTTTGAAAGATTCCCTCTCCTCATTAAGTTTAATTAACAGAGAGAGAGAGAGAATATGTACTTTAAAAAAGTGCAAATTAATTTTTAAGCGTAAATAATAATTAAAAGTCGCGACTATGTTTTAATATTCTGGTAAAATTTTTAGTTTTTGGAGAAAATTTAACACCTTTAGACGACAAAAACAAATAACGTTGAATTTCGTTTTCCCCCAACTCAAGCGGTCACCATGTACTTATAATAACCGTGTAGCAGAATCCTCAAGAGCTACGACAAAAATGGGTGAAATTTTATTATTACAGAAAGTATTGGGACGATTCTGAAGGACCTCAATTTTCTCCTAAAACTTTAAAAATTTTACAGGGTGCGGCAAATTTAGCGCCGACTTTGTTTTGGCTATAACTTTTTTAATTTTAAACGAAAATTGATAATTCTTTTTTTCCTGGATTCCCAACACTTTAGGAAACTTGTTGATATCAAATATTGAAAATTTGGTCCACTGAGAGGAAACAAAAACGTGTCCGAACAGCCTAAAAATCTAAAAATATTTTTCATGCCAAAGTTTAGTTGATCATAACTTTGTTCAGAATAACCCAATCCGAGTTATTTTGGTACCAATCAACTCCTCTCGATAAGGAGCATCGAAATAGCTAATAAAATCATTTTTGAAAATTTTACCTAAAAAGTTTATATTTGCAAAATTTATTTTAATTTTTCAATCAGAGAGTCATATCTCGGTCCATTTATGCAATAAACACTTGATTTTGACGTCATTCGAATCAGATTGGAGAGCTGATTCGAATGATATGTAAATTTCTCACATCAAAACAATAGCCTTGAATCCAGGCCAAATTTTATCCAAAAATTTTTGCTCGAAATTTGATAGAAAATTAATCAAACTTAATTATAAAATTTAGAAAAGATTTTTATATCAACAAGTTTCCTAAAGTGTTGGGAATCCAGGAAAAAAAGAATTATCAATTTTCGTTTAAAATCAAAAAAGTTATAGCCAAAACAAAGTCGGCGCTAAATTGCCGCACCCTGTACAAGACATTGAAACAGTCGCGACTTTTAATTATTATTTACGCTTAAAAATTAATTAGCCTTTTTTCAAAGTACTTATTTTCTCTCTCTCTGTTAATTAAACTTAATGAGGAGAGGGAATCTTTCAAAATCATTAATTGCCAACCTACATCTTTATTTAATTTTTAAAATTTATTAAAGGGAGAGCATTGGGATAGCTTGTAAACACAAGCATGTACTTGTAAGTATATACACGTAAGCTTATATCTATCAAAGAACCTTAGAGTTCCAATAAATTTAATTAACAATTGTTATAAGAAAAGATTTTTGATAATACAAAACAATATTTTAAATAATAATTGAATTAACTAAACAAATAATTTCTTTATTTTAACAAATAAATATTTTAGAGTAAACTTGATTTTTATTTTGAGACTCGTTTGTTTAATAATTTGTGGGCGGACTTATTTATATCCGAGAAGCGTGCGCATCCATTTGTAAATCTGTTAGCATTTAAGCCTGTCATTTTGTAGTATTATTCACTCATTTATATTTTTCTACAAAATTTTAAAGTTAGGGGTGGATAGCTTTTTCTAGTATAATATTACTGTAAAGCATATTGCTGTTAATTTCCTAAGGCTGTGCAGTAGGCGGCGTGGTGTAATGGCTAACACATCAGTCCGGTCTACTGAAGATGCTGGTTCGCTACCAGCCGCCGAATAACCTTTTGCACTAGATAAAGGAGAGAAATAGCTATAGCCCAGCTGCTTTACTTGGTACTTATTTAGTTCCCCCCCCCCCCAGTCAGTTTTTTCGAAAATTATGTAAAAATGGTCAGTCTGAGCAAAAATGTGGAACCCATCGAGCTGTGTCGAATGACACCAAAATCAACAAAATCCGACTTGATTTGACCGAAATACAGACCCCTAAAAATTGAACAACCATGGGGGTAATTTTTTGAAATAAAAAAGTTAACCCAAATGATAGCTCATTCGAAAGAGCTCGACGAGCTGAGTCGAATGACACCAAAATCTATGAAATCGGACAAGATTTGACAAGGTTATGATTTTATTTAGACCTACCGGAGTCGACGATTTATGTCATATCTTTGTCTCGTCCTTTTGGTTTTTCGCCCCTGTGGTTGTTCAATTTTCAGGGGTCTGTATTTCGATCAAATCGAGTCGGATTTTGTCGATTTTGGTGTCATTCGACACAACTCGCTGGGTTCTACAATTTTTGTTCAGGCTGACCATTTTTACATATTTTTCGAAAAAACTGAAAATATATAATGAAAATATAATTTTACCCTTTTATTTTTATTACAGGTATATTAATTTAATAAAAATGCCCCCAAAACACTAAAATTTTTTAAGAATTTATATTTTTGAAAAAGAAATATTATGAATGAGTAATATTATTCATTTGTAGGTTTAAATACGTCTCGTCAGAGGTTAGTTTCGTCAGAGAACATTTTCGTCAGAATCAGTTCTGACAGAGGGGTTTTTCGTCAGATAGCAGTTTCGTCAGAGGGTTGTTTCGTCAGGGATAAGTTTCGTCAGAGGCCCTTTTCGTCAGTAAGGCTCCCTTTATAAAAATCTAATTAAAAGGCGGTATTATGACTTATACTAGGTTATTTGTTTCTGGATCGATTTGGATAATTGAGGTATCATTCGAAAGAGCTCTAAAAACTGAGTCGAATTAGTTGTGGAAGAAGTTTATCCGACATTCCGGGACCGAATTAAAGACTCCTGAATACTGAAAAAGCACAGGGAGGTATCACCTCGTCGAGCAGGAGTCAGCCCGCCGAGCTGACTCGAATGAGCTGCATTTGTATACTCGAATTTTTCATCACAAAAATCGCTTTTCAGAGCTCTTTCGAAAGACACCTCATTTGTCTAAATCGACCCAGAAACAAATAACCTAGTATGTGTCATAACACCGACGCTTAATTAGATTTTTGAAAAGGGAGCCTTACTGACGAAAAGGACCTCTGACGAAACTCATCCCTGACGAAACAACCCTCTGACGAAATTGACCTCTGACGAGAAGAGCCTCTGACGAAACTAATTCTGACGAAAATTTCCTCTGTCGAAACTAACCTCTGACGAAACTACCGGACACGAAATACTAGTGGCCCTTGGCAGTTAGTTGCTACAAGCAGAACAACCAAAACATTTGAAAAGAAACATTTAAAAGAAAGGAAGAAAAGTCTGCAGAAATAGCACCCTCATCTTTAGTAGTGCCCTCTCCTTTTATAAAAACCTGCCCTCTTCATCCACCTGTGACACTTCATATGCCTTCATTAACTCCCTCATTTCTGCCATTTTGAACAGCTTCAACTGGCGGATTCCTTTTTCTTCGACTCTTTTACTTTATGATCTTTATTTTTTTCAAAGAGCAGTGTTAAGTCTTGATCCAAAAATTGAAAACCCTGTCCTCCGACCAGAGAAAATTTCGGTGTCTATTAAAGATGATCAAATAAGAAATAAGTTTCAGATTTATTATAACTATGAAAAATTAGGACCTAACACTGCACTTTGAAAGTAAAAATAAAAATCATAAAGTGAAAGAGTCTAAGAAAAAGGAATCCGACAGTTGAGACGGATGAAAACTGTGGAAGTAGGGAGTCAATGAAGGCAGCGTCACATGTGAATGAAGAGGGCAGGTTTTTATAAAAGGAAAGAATCGAAGAAAAAGGAATTGTTGACAGCGCTCAAAAAGTAGGAATCAAAGTAAAAAGAATTTTTCTTCGACACATGAAGCGGATGGAAAGGGCAGACTTTTATAAAAGGTGGGAGTCAATGAAGGCACATGAAGCGTCACATGAATCGTTTCACGAGGTGGATGAAAAGTGCAAGTGCAAGCATTGGTTGCTTAGGTTTATAACTTATTCTTACCACCGTTTTACGTTGATTTTTGAGGTCTCATGATCTCGGTTCCAGGAAAAGGTATGGGTCTAGTTCTTTTTTAACACATCACTTTGAAGGAAAAAGATAAAGTTCATGATGTAAAGAGTCGAAGAAAAAGGAATCCGCCAGTTGAAGCGGATGAAAAGGGCAGGAAGAAGGGAGTTAATGAAGGCATATGAAGCTTCACATGTGAATGAAGAGGGCATGTTTTTATAAAATTGCTGACAGCTCATAAAAGTAGAAATCGTAGAAAAGTGAATTTTTCTTTGTCACATGAAGCGGATGGAAAGGTCAGGCTTTTGTAAAAGGAGGGAGTCAATGAAGGCACATGAAGCGTCACATGAATCGTTTCACGAGGTGGATGAAAAGTGCAAGTTTTTATAAAAGGAGAGAGTCGAAGAAAAAGGAATTGTTGACAGAGTTCATAAAAGTAGAGATCGAACAAAAAGGAATTTTTCTTCGTTTTCAGACTTATGTTTGGGCTAATCATGATTGAGAAATCATTGCGTGAGCGGTTTTGCTGATAAATGCTACTAGTATTTAAACCTACAAATGAATAATATTACCCATTCATAATATTTCTTTCTCAAAAATATAAATTCTTAAAAAATTTTAGTGTTTTGGGGGCATTTTTATTAATATACCTGTAATAAAAATAAAAGGGTAAAATTATATTTTCAAAAATAAAACTGTTAAAGGTTATCTCTGCTTTAGCTCATAAATGCGGATTAATGCAGCAATATTTCAACCAGAATTTGCTCAAAAAAAGTTATACACCGACTCAGTTCCTGAAAATTTTTCTCACATTTCCCCATATTTATTAGCTATCTTTTAATGTAGTTTAATGCTATTTCCGTCCGAATTTCGAAGTTTTTTTTAATTTTTTTCTACAGAAAACCCTTAAAGTTTTCAAAAAATGAAAGAATTCCTTTTGTTTTTGTTATTTTATTTTGTCATAAGCCAATTTAAAATACAATTTGCGGATGGAATGGATCGCGGTAAGTCTTTAAAAATAAATATCTTAGACTGGAAAATCCTACAAAAATCTTTTTAAATAAAAATTAGAATTAAATTAAAAATTTAGGAAAAGGAAAGCAATTGATGAAAGGAAGTGCTTCAGAGCTGCAAGGAATGGTTCAGGGATTTCAGACAACATTTGTTGGAAATAAAGAATTTCCAAGCTTTTTTTCGCTCACGGAATTATATTCTCTTATTGTAATATTGGAGAGTATAACAATCGAAATATTAGAACAATATGAACAATCTAGTTTAGAACAAATTATAGATTTTTATTGCCGAGGTGTAGCTTGCGATAAAATTAAAATGGTGAATGCACAATTTAATCGTGTCCGGACAATGCGTCAGTGGACATTGTGTCAGTGGGCAATCGTTCAGTATTTATATAAAGTGATTAAAAATGATGAAGTAAAGAGATAAAAATGATATAAAAAGACTAAGGATGGGATATAAACAGATTAAAAGTATTTAAAAAGGGACTTTAGGGTTTAAAAGAGGTATAGATGGATTTGTCGGATTAAGGCCGGTATCTCGGGTTTGGGAGGATTAACAGAGATATTAAATTATTTAGTTGGATTAAGATGGAGATCAGCCTATTTGGAGGGATATCAGTGAATTTTTCTCTTTATATCATTACTTTATATCAATGCTGACCGATTGTCCAATGACGCATTGTCCGGGAGCCCATTTAATGACTTATAAAAATTATTTTAAAAGGTTATTGGTGTGTATAATGATTTCCTCTGTCCAACAGAAAAATCAAACAAGAAAAGAAATTACCGCATAACGTTTGGCCTTTTTGTTTTTGCACGAAAGTTCATCCGTTCATTTTTTGAATTTCATAATGAAAATAAATATTATGACAACTTGGTTGAGCGGTTTAATCCGTAGGTTTTATCTATATTTTCAAAATAATTTTAAACAGGGTTCGGATATTTACGATTTTCCTAATTTTGTTGTTTTTAATAGGTCGATAAGGATTATTTTTAAAAATGCGGAGATTAGCGGATTTTGGTATTTATTTACCCCCCCCCCCAGTCAGTTTTTTCAAAAAATATGTAAAAATGCTCAGTCTGAACAACAATTGTAGAACACATCGAGCTGTGTTTTTAATAAATCTAATAATGTAATATAATTTAACTGAAAAGAAATAATAATTTTTAAGGGGAATGAATGTTTCAGTTTCACTTTTGAAATATATGAAGGCCTATGACCTTTTTGAAGCAAAGGCAAACGAATGGATATTAATAATGGGAAAAAAGAAAATTTATAGAAAGAATGAGGAAGTTTCACTCGAAACAACAGAAAATGCAAATTATCTACCTACGTCAATGGTTTCAGAAGAAAACGAAAATATTGACAAAGAGAATGTAGACTTTAAGATTTACCAATACGTTGGTAAGATATTTTATTTCTGTAGAGTAGAGTTGGCCGGTATCGGGATTTAGAGAAAAACCCGGGATCGGGATTTTGGAATGGTGATACCGATCCCGGCTCGGGATCGGGATCATCCAAAACCGGGATCTGGATTTACCTTTCGGTCTCAGGATCAGAAAAATCGGGATCGGGATTCGAAAAACCCGGGATAATCCCGCCCGATCCCGACCGGGATCCCGATCCCGGCCAACTAATGTAAAGTTCAAATAAATTTTACGGAAATTGAAAACCTGAAAACTACACTCTGTCCCAAAAATATACATCCACCTATATTTTGTGGCTTAAGTCCGTAAATTGTTAACGGATTTGAATGAAAATTTAATATTTAATGCACAACGACATTTTGAAACTATATTTAAATTTTGGATTCGACGGGATTAAGGCCGATATCTCAGGTTTGGGACGATTAACAGGGATATTATGTTATTTGGTTCGATTAAGATGGAGATCAGCCTATTTGGAGGGATATCATGAATTTTTATCTCTATATCATTACTTTATATCAATACTGACCGATTGTCCACTGACGCATTGTCCGGGAGTCGTAAAAAGGGATACAAAATGGTATGGTTAACTACTTACATCCACTTTCCAAAAGTTATTTCCAACGAGAGGAAAAATTTACAAAAATTCCAGTTTAAAATTCTTAGCTAAAAACTAAATATTTAACTCCAGTGTAGAAAATTTTATCAAAAATTTATTTAATTTAAACCATAAACTAATTTTTTCGAAGTGTGTTTTTCAGAAACTAATCCAATAATTATTATTTTTAGTTATAAACGAAGAAATAACTGCTGAAGATTGTAAAAAGTTTAATGATGTTTGCTTTGATAAAAGAGAGAAAAAGAACATCTTTAATACATTCTATTCATACTTTAATGAGCTTGCCGAAAATGTTCAACTAAAACTTGAACATAAAATTATAAATCCTTTTTTGACTGAGAAAATATATGAGGGATACAGGAATAGAATGTTTGACTTTTACAAGACCTTTGTTGAAGATCAAATTAAATATAATCAATATCTGCCACAGTCACGTATTCAGATAACAATTCAAGTATAGATTTATATTTAACCTATCTTGAAGTTTATGGAACCTAATTTTATGTTTAATTAAGGATTTAAACCTAAAAATCCTATACCTAATTATCATCATTTATTTTTGAGCATTTAAATATGTAATATTAATTAAATAAACAATTTAAGATACGTGACTATTGTCGTGATCCCATCGGCCCAAAATTACAACCTAATCAAATTGCGGGACATGGACATCGAGGTGGTCATAGCGGAGGACACCATTCAAGAAACCAAGGTGGCCGAGGTGGAGGACATCATTATGCCTCTGGAGACCAAAGTGGTTATGTTGAAGGACAAAATTATAACCAAGGATACCATGATGGTCATATTGGAGGACATCATTATGCCTCAGGACACCAAGGTGGTTATGGTGAAGGAGGAAATTATGGCTCGGGGTATGGAAGTGGTTATGGTGGATATCAAGGAAATTACTGAAGATATTGGCTAGAGATGGCATTTATGGCTTTTTTAAAGTGTATTTAAACTTGAATAGCCAGATTTTTGAATTATTTCAATCAAATATTTCTATAACAATCCTGCTGAGATTTATCAAATGTCAGTGAATTAATTCCTTTATAAGAGCCCTAGGAATTAGAGATCGGTATTTAAAGAAATCCTGGATCAGGATTTGGTTAGTAACCTGGACAGGATTCTTGATCTGGATCCAGTAAAAATCCAAATCCAGAAAAAATCCAGGATTTTTTTATCTGGATCCTACCTTGATTTCTGGATTATTTCAAAAATAGGGGGAAAATAGGTAAAAATGGTCAAACTAGGGGATTGGTCAAATTCCTTTTCTGCGCCGCAGGCGAAAATTTTGAGAATTTTAGTAGACCAATATGCTAGAAATATACATTTTTTCTATTGTATTTAGAAAATGACAAAACTTTTAAAAGTATTACATAATGATAAAAATAGGAAAATATGCAGGGCAAATGTAGAAAATAGGGAGAAAAGGTCAAAAATAGTGAAAATCCTCTATAAATATGCTGAAAGGGTCACCCTGGTATCAGAGGATTAAGTAATCTAAGAGATCTTGAGATATTTGAAGGGATATCAGAGGATTACGGGGGAATAGGAGGATTTGAAGGGATAAGAACATTACTTGGGTCCTCCGATATCTATGTTGAGGAATTTGGTAGAGAAATCCACCATATCCCTCGATAAATCCTAGCAACGCATTTTGTAAGGGAGCAAGTACCTTGTGCGGCGGTACCTTGGGGTTCACCCTCCTGTAAGTACATTTAGCCAACTTTCTGTTTAGCAAAATTTTGTGAAATTTGAAGGAGCAAGAAGCCAGATAAATTCCATTTTTGACATCGCAGGCGTCAAATTTAATCCAGGAAATCCAGACATAAAAACCGCTGGGTCTGGATTTGGGTTATTGACCTGGACTGGATCCAGACCGATCTCTACTAGAAATACTAAAAAATTATAACTTTTCAATACTAGGAGGTAAATATTTCACATAAATAATTTCAAAAATCTGGCAAAAATTTAAAAGAGAAATAGAAATTAAACAAGAAATTTCTGTCTCTAATTTAAATTTTCTGAACAAGTCACACAAAACATCCAGTATATTACTGGCAACTTTTAAAGTGTTCAATGAGGCCGATTTAGCGGTCTTGGTAGGTAACACTAAATTTATTTTATTTTCTGATATTTATCATTAAATTGTTTTTATTTTAAACAAATGTCGATAAATTGAAGAAAATTTGTTTTTTTTTAATTTTGTTAAAACTAAAAGTAAGAATTTTAAAAATATTTAAATTGAAACTATATTGAAGAAATTTTTAGAAAAATATATTTCATACATTCAAAAGCGCCGCAGGCGCTTTTTTTAAGAATTTGCGCCGCAGGCGCAAATTCTGAGAATTCTGGAGGTTTTTGGTCTTGATCTTGGGATCAAGTCTTTGGGTCAAGTCTTGGAAAATTTGCGGTCTTGTAAATTGTGCAAAAAATATTTAAACATTTATTTTTGTTAAATATAAAATATATCGTTAAAAATAATAATTATTTTTCCCGAAATAAAAATTTTCAAAAAAATTTCCACACTTCTTTTGCCAATAAACCAGCCACCAAAGCAATTCCAATTAAACTAAATAAAGTAATCATTCGAATTATTGTCTTTCTAGCATATTCTAATTGGTTATTTAATTCTCCAATTGTTTGTTGCTGTTCTTGTTTTTCGGCTTTAAGTCGTTTATTCTTCAAAATTTTAATTAAAATAAAATTTATCTGACAAGGATATTTTGTCTATATTAAATTTTTAAGATTAGATTAACTTAACTTGGCAATAAAAAAATCTTTGAACTCGAAAGGGTTCGAACCTTCACCCTATTTAGACAAAAAATTCAGCATTATCCCACTAAACCAAAAGGAACAAAAAATTGGCATTTTGTGTACTGCCGTTAGGATTTAAATTTTAGAACAGGCAATTTAAACACTCAAATAAAATGTTTTTTCAAGAAAAGGGGTCGAACTTCCTACCCTACAAAATGCGTGAACCTAAAATTATCCGACTACACCAAAAATGACAAAACAAAGTTTGACTGAAAAACGTCTCAAATATGGCTAATTTTACACTTCTAGATTTCTGACAAAAATTTTTTACCGCATATTGTAACGCCGCAATACTATCATTTACTTCCATTTCACTATTTCCTTCATCATAAACTTCGAGTGAATCAAGAATAGCTTCTAATGCATAATTTCTAGTCTTTTTTGCATTTAAGGGAACATTGAAACGGCAAAGAGGGCATTCAAATGTGTTTTTGAAAGGGGCCTAAAAAATCAGAAATTTTGTTAAATTTAAAATATTAAAGTATTTTAGGCACTTAAATTGAATATGAAGAGGAATTCTTAGGGATTTACATGGACGTGTTTGTAGTTAAGGCAATTACTTGCTGTCCCAGATTTACAGCTAGGCTTGATTGCCCTCTATGGGTTTGTCTATTCAAGTGCTATACAAGCCGAGGTGGGTCGGGATTCCTATTTCCGACTTCCGACGCTTTTTTTTCCTTCCGATTTCCGAAAAAAATTTTAATTTCCGATCTCGGACTTTTGAGCCAGTTCCGATTTCCGACACCTCTGACTGTTCCGCCCTCTCTGTATACGAGGACTAAACTAAAGCAGACTTCAACGACACGTCTCCCCTCTAACATGCCTTTCTAAAATTTCAAATCATGTATGCTTAAGACTATCAAAGTCAATATAAATTGGGAAAATAACATTACAAGCCCTGGTTCCAGGAAAGAGCCATAAATAGCAAAAATTTAAATGTCTAGGACGAGTCAAAAATTAAAATGTCAAATACTTTTTAACAAAAAAAGACAAACTTGTCTTTGTCTATTTAATTGAACACAACTCTTTCTAACAGAATCAATACATTTAAAACAAAAAGAATGTCCACATGGCAGAATTTCTGGTGATTTAAAGAAAACAGATAAACAAACGGGGCAGTGAAGGGGAGAAGAGTCTATTCGGATTTTCTGAGCGTCTTCAATTTCTGCACATTTTTTCTAAAAAATTTGTTTTATTTTTATAACGATAAAATAAATTTAAATAATTTAAATTGTATTACTAAAATATTTTGGGGCTGAAAACCCTGTCCTATAGCGAAGGATAGAAAGAGCTAGCAAAAGTTTACACTATCTCTACCCCATACAGGATCTCTACCAAAAAGCTACTGGGACGTCGACTATACTTTCTCTTTTATCCTTTTAGATCGTTTAACCCCCGCCTAAGCGTTTTAAATGCTCTAGGTGAATAATCCTTACAATTTATATTCATGCCTAATTGGATAGCTCCTCTCAGCAGCCATACAAATTTATAAAAAATGTATCCTGAATTAGAGAAATCCAATGCGAAGGGCATCCAAGAGGCCAAGCTGTGCCTAACATCGGGTATCGGACTCCTAGTCACCGAATTT